AAGATAAAAATTCCATCTATTTCAAAACAGCTTAAACAGAAACTTTTCTGTCATTTATTTCCTTCACTCCTTCAAGTATTTGTCCCATTCTGCTTTCTTCCAGGAATTCCTTCCTTGAGTGGAAATGAAGTCTTCCTTGAGTCTCCCAGGGCAGCTCAAGCCCTTTCCCTATTGACAGTGAAGCACAGTGGCCCACAGAAACCGACAGCTCTTCCTGGGCTGACGTCAGACCACTGTCCATTCATGTGGGCCCCTGCACCCCCCACTTCCAAAAGTCATTCCACAGCCTCTCATCATTTCTTAGTAAGGCCTTCCTTTGGAACAAGTCATCTTTCTGCTGCTCCAAATGCAATTTGGAGTAAAACTCCCCCGATAACCACTGAGGTCTGTAAAGAATGAGTGGCGGCCGCAGTTCCAGGGTGTTGCAGCTGCCCAGAGGATGGTGCTCAGGAGGCACCAGTTCTCTGCCATTCCAAACTCTGCCATTCCAAACCCAAAGCCCTGCCTTGCTCTGCCCCCCCGAGAGGCTCTTTGCTTCTGAGTTTCAATCCACAGCGCACAAGGAACAAGAGTAGGGCCGCTTCCGGGGGTGCCCGTGGAGCCCAGCGTGTTGGTTTTCATCTGATTCCCAGGCTTCAGGCAGTTCCCAGAGGCTTGGGGGCACCACAGCTGTGTTCCTAGCAGAACAAAACAAACAGAGTTCTTGGGCTGGATAACCAGGTCTCATCCCCAGGTTCCTGGACAATTCCAGCAGGGATGGGAGGCTCTGGGTGCTGAAAAACGTAACTAGAACTGTACCAAACGCTCCTCTCACCTCCATCTGGGTGCTAAGGAGCCTAGAGGGGAGCAACTCTGTTTGCTTCTAGACACAGTGGCATCTACCTGGGTTTGGAGTCTGATGAACCCCGAGGGGAAGCTGTCAAAAAGCTAACAATACTGTGTACTTAGCCAACATGTGCTCCCTACGGGGTTTCCACTGCTGCTCTGGAAGTTCCTTCCTCAGAAAAGAGAGTCAGAGCCCCTTGTCTCCATTCTATGGTGCTAGAGACTAAGCCTCAACTGGAAATCGCAGCCAAGTGGAGTTGTGGGGCTAGTCAGAGACAACGCTTAGGATCCTGGAACTCGGCCATTGCCCGGGAACATCTCAGACAGGGAAGCATGTAGCAAGGTTTACACAACTCTGCCTGCGTGCGCAACCCCAGCTGAACTCCTTCCATTGCTAAGTAAAGAACTCAAGTGGCTTGAGGGCTTCTAGGACAGGTTTTTAAATCCCAACTGTGCCACTCCCTAGTTGAGTGACCTTAGCCAAGGGAAGTGGGAAATAAATTATTGGATGGCTAAATGTGCCAGGCACTGTGCTTGCATTGGAGCCTGTCTGACCCCGAAGCACATATCCTCTCTGTGTGAGCACTCGTCCTGCACTCAGAGCCAGAGGCCTTAGGCTGGAGGCACAGTTATTTGACTCTGGGAAGTCACTTCCATTCTCTCTGGGCCTCAGTCTCTCTTCAGGCAAATAGGACAGTCTGTCCTGCTGATCCTATGGGGTGATGGTGACATTAAAATGGAATAGCGTGGGGAAAGAATGCTCTCTAATACCCAGTGTGTATGGTAAGTGGTCGTTTTCAGACCCATCTGATCTTTGGGACCATCACAAGGAGGTTTTTAAAAATATAGATTACTAGATGGGTGAGGGTCTGATCCAGTGGCCCTGAGAATCTGTGTCAAAAAAAAAAAAAAAAAAAAAAGCACGCTCAGGGCTGGTTTGTGGAGCAGCTCATGTTTACAGATGTAAGGGATGAATATCATTTCCCCAGACCTCCGGGATGCCAAAATTTTGCTTCCTCTTCCCTGCCCCACCTAAGACGTTGCCAGTCCTAGCCCTGCCCTTGGACTCTGTCTCTGAAGGTTTTTATATTATTCCTTCACTGATAGACTCTGGCTGCCTCTCAGCACCTACCAGCCAAAGACCCAGAGAAGAGAGAGAAGGGTAGGAAAGAGAAGGCTCTGATCCAATGCGTAAATTGCCTTTAGTTACCCAAACTGGGTAAATTGGCATGGAGGGAATCCAAGCCACAAGGTGGAGAAGGAGCCAGGGTCTGAGTAAGCAGACGAAGCATCCAGGTGGTGGCTCACCCTCTGCCTTTGGCTAGGGAACAATGTGTGTTGGTTGAATCCCAAGGGACACATCTTGTATTTATTTTACTGACTTTGCTTGTATTTTTCTAACCTTGTTGGGTACTTTTTTGGGGTGAAGAAAGTCTGGGATAACTTTTTATGTTTGAAATTCTCAAATATCCCTACCAAAAGAGGCACATGCTAGCATGGATGATTCCAAACAAGGGATTATTGAGAAGTCACTTCCACTGGTTTTAAGGCGAATGGCGTGGAGGTACTCACTCCCCCATTAAATTTACCTTCAAGCCTGGTGTGGTGGCTCACGCCTGTCATCCCAATGACTCAGGAGGCTCAGCTGGGAGGATTACATGACCCCAGAAGTTTGAGACAAGCCTGGGCAACATAGCAAGACTCTCTACCCTGTCTCAAAAAAAATAAAAAAAAAAAGTAAATTTACCTTCCGAGTTTGCTTCAGCTTCAAATATATTATCAGCACTGGTTTACATACCATGAGAATGGTAGGCTGGGATGTTGGAACAAGGAGAACTCAAACTCACAGCAGTCTCATCGCTGAAAACTCAGGCCTTGAGGGTCCAGGTGTCACATGCACTGTATACATAAGGAGATGAGGCCCACGGAAGGGTGGTGACGTGATTGCCTTTCCTCCAGTGCCCGCGCTGCTTCTGGACTTCCGGGTTTTCATTGTTTTCATCTGTTCACCTTGCCTGCAGTGATGATTGGTTGACCTGCAGGATTCAAGGAGCATTTGCAGTCCAGAACCTGTGTAGGGGGCATTTGTGGGTGAAGGAGAGCTGTGTTCTAGTCCTCTGGCTGCTAACCAGCTGTGTGGCCTTGGGAAGTCCCGGGCATCTCTAAACCTTATTTGTACTTCAGGGAGGGGAAATGTGTGGCTTTGAGGGGCTCTTCCAGTTTCTAGGCCTCTGCATGGCAGACTCCATTTTAGACTGCAACTGCAGGAACGGAAGGCCAAGAGCTCTGCTCAAAGTATAAACCTCATGGGCTAGGAGGCTCCCACGAGGCCCCAGGAAGGGGAAGCCAAGGCAAGAGCTGCTCCCTCTGTTCCCCAAGGTCACAGCAGCAGAGGTGAGCTCAGAATAGAAGCAAGGCCTCCATCGCCCCACCCACCCAGAGAAGCCAGAGCAGGAGGCCCGTGCGGCAGGTGGGTGGGAGGAGGGCGTGCTTGGCTCCTCGCCTCCTGGCGCTGCTTATTTATAGGCAATACTCCTCCAGCTCTTGGGCCAGAGACAACCGGGAGAGTAAAAAAGGCAGCTCTGGAGGAGACGCCAAGGGGGATTTAATCAGCTGAATCGAGTGAGATGTATAAATCAGTGCCGACTTCCACTTCCTGACAGGCTCTGCCAGCTTCTGTGTCGTCAGGGTCTGGGAGGAGATTCGCCATGGCTGTCCCCCAGGGCTGTAACACTTTGCCTTTGTCTCTTGCTACAGGTAGGCAGTCACTGGCTCGAGGTTTCCTCCACACACAGATTTCTGGGCTCAAAACCCTAGACTTGCTCTGGAGGCTGGAGACCTAAGCTTCTTCAAGTCCTAAAACAAAAACTGGGAAGCTGGGGACCTCCTTTTTTCCCCCATTTTGTCTATTTCCTTGACCATTTACCTGTCTCTAAATCCTTGCAGTTCACGCCTTATGATTCCAGCATTTGAGCATGGGAATGTCACCTAAATGGCCATTGAACCTGTTAACTGGTTCACGCCCGTCTTCAGATGAGGAACCATGGCTAGGAGGAGCTAAGAGACCCAGGCCAGCCTCCTGAGGCTCCCACACTTCACTCGCTGCCTTTTTTGTCTTCTCCAAACCTAGAGCCCCTATCCTTTCCCACATCCTATTCCTTCCTCACAAATTCTCTCCAAGCACCCAGCCTCCCAACGCAGGCTCCCTAGAAGGCAGGGAGGGCTCCACAGCAAGTCCAAGGACTTCTTTACCGAGCTGTTAACTGGGAATGGTGAGGGGAGCAGAGGGCCAGGAAAACATGTCTTAGCTGCCTGGGCTAATGCAAAGAAACGTGGCAAGGGTTCCGTGCTGGTTGGCAGTGTGGGGAGAGGGGAATCTGTTTCCAGTGGAATCCTGTGGGGGTCCTGAGGAAGAGAACAGAATTGATGCCATATGCCATAGGTGGCTGAGGCTCGTATGAGACACCCTTAGGAGACAGCTTATGGGAAGGCTAGGGCAGCTTTCACTTGCTTTCTTAACATGGATTTTAGTCTCCTGAGCTAGGTGCTAAGGATACAAAGGTGAGAACTGGAGGCTGCTCTGTGTGTGCAGCCTAGTGTGATGGGCCTGTGATGGAGGGTGTGTGGAGAGGAGCCGGGGGATGGGAAAGCATCAGGAGACAAGCGTGGCTGAAGGAGGAGCAGGTGCCGACCAGGTGAAGCCAGTTTCTCAGTCCCGGCTGCACAGTGGAATCACCTGGGGAGCTTTTAATAACCCAGAGCCCATTGAATGTGATGGATCTGATCAAGAAAAAAAAATCCAGAGCCTAGGACACACTCCTAACCAATTAAATGAGACTCTGAGATTGGAACCCAAGCATCGTTACTGGAGATTTCGAAGTATAGCCAAGGAGGAGACCATGGGTTATCAGATAATTTGTGCCTTAGGTTTTCAGGGCAATGGAATGGTTAAAAGGGTGACTCTTTTGGGTTTCTTTTTTTTTTTTTTTTAATTGAGCCCTCTTATTCACTCTTTCTAGGAAACCATGAGAATTGCCTTCTGGACCTGGGTCTGGGGAGGAGCTACAAGGAGGGAGGGGGCAGGCAGGAAGGGGAAAGGACAGAAGAGGACTCTGGGGCTGTAGGGTCTAAGCTCTCAGTGACATTGTCACAAACCACGCCTCCCTCACTGCCAGGACCTCCTGCAGAATTCCCCCAATTCCATGTCTGGAGTCTCCAATAACCCCCAGGGAATTGTGGTCCCAGCCTCAGCGCTCCAGCAGGGCAACATCGCCATGACAACCGTCAACTCACAAGTCGTGTCAGGTCGGTGCAAAGACCGGGAAGGGGGATTGTGGGAATTCCCCGGGAGGAGAAAGGGTGGTCCCGAGGCGGTTCCAGGGGTGGGGGGTGGGGGTTGTCCCCCACTGAGGGAGGGGCTCCCAGCTCAGTTTCTTGACTAAAGTTTTCTGTAAGTTTGTAGACAGTTAGCACCAAGACCCAATTGTGATGGTTTAGAACAAATCTGGGTCAAAATCTCATGAGCCCCTGAGAGGACCAAGTAAGGCTGTTGTCCTTTCCCTGAAGCACCTCCCACCAAAGGCTCTGCCCTAGGCTGTAGACACCATCCCCCAGCCACCCATAAAGCAGAAGAGCCATAGCTCGCTACCCAAGGGCTCCAAAGTAGAGGGTCTTTACACGTGAGTGCCAAGTGAACTGGGAACCCTGCTTGCCCTTGCTCCTACCCACTCCCATGGCAGGGGGCCCCAAAACTGGTTGTCTCCTCAGGTGGAGCCTTATACCAACCGGTTACCATGGTAACCTCCCAGGGTCAGGTGGTCACCCAAGCAATCCCCCAGGGAGCCATCCAGATCCAGAACACACAGGTGAGTGTGTGTAGGTGTGTGCACATGTGCATGGTGTGGGCTAGGGCGCCTGTGATCGCTTCTTATCTGCCAGGCACTTTACACGAGTGACTCATTGAATCCTCATCATCCTCTAAGAGGTATCATTACTCCTACTTTACAGATAAGAAGCTGGGTCTTGGAAAGGTTTTATCAACTCCTGGGATTTTGCTGCCTCCCTCCTGGGGTTACATCAAAGGATCCTGCACTTCCTATTCCTGTCTGCAGACTGAGCTGCTGTGTCCCTCAGTGGTAGAGAGTGCACACACAAAGGAAGAGTAGAAAGATCGGAAGTCAGAGTCTGGGATCTGACATTAACTCTGGGATCTCGGATAAGTCACCTAACCTCTCTGAGCCTCAGACTTCTTATTGATAAAAGGGGGATTAATAGCAACTGCACACAGCCTAGCCAACCTACAGGGCTGCTGTGAGAATGAACCACGGTGATGGATAGGAAAGTGCTTTGCAAACTGTAAAGTACCACAGAAATGCTGATAACTACTTGACGGCTTATGGCAAATTCATATCTTCTACTGTTCTCTCTGCATGGCCCTGTTTCCTCTGTCTTTCTCTCTCTCTCTCACTCTCTCTCTCACTCTCTCCCTCCCTCTCCCCCTGCCCCATCTCTTCCTCCTTGTCCTTCTTCCCTTCTCCCATCACCCGAGCCTCACCTCCACTCTCTGAGGGACTGGCATGGGGTGAGAGGGAAAGGCGACCTCCCCAGGGCCCTAGGAGTGAGCCGGGAAAGGGGCTGGCAGCCGAGCCTGCCGTCGCTATGGCAACAGGTCCCTAGCCTCACAGGCTGCTGATGCTGATTTTCTCTCCACGTGCCCTGAAGGTTAACCTTGACCTCACCTCCCTCCTGGACAATGAGGATAAGAAGTCCAAGAACAAACGAGGAGTCTTGCCCAAGCATGCCACCAATATAATGCGTTCTTGGCTCTTCCAGCATCTCATGGTGAGTGTGTGTGTCCTGGGGGTGTGGAGTCACGGCATGGGGTATGAATAACCCACCACGTGGGTACCAAACTCTGCTGTCGGCGCCAAACCCACAGACAGAGGGCGTGGCCTCGGGGAGCGCTCTCTGATAGGGATGACATCTGGAGGCCAGGCCGGGGGGCTCAGGTGGGACCTAAAGCTGGGAGACTTTCTCTAGTACCTGCTACTGTTGCTGTCTGGAAAAAATGTGGCAACACATGGGGTAATGGGGACAAGCGCATGCCGAAGAGTCAAGTACTGGGCAGATGTGTCACACTGTTTCATGAACAGAGAGAGGGTCGTCGTGGGGAGTGGGTGGTTTCTGGACCAGAGCCCTCCCCCTGCCACAGCCACGCTCACTGTGCCCGTCTCCCATGGGAGAACGTGTTGACTCTGCCAGGACTCCTGAGTCCTCCCCGCTGGGTGAGCCAAGTGCTGTGTGGTAGAGATGGGGGCCAAGGCTGGAATCCTGGCTCCTCACGTCACAGCTCAGTTCCAGGACACAGCACTATTTATTTCATAAGCCTCAGCAGCTCCTTTTATAAAATGGCCCACTCCCTTGGGTTACAGTGCAGTGCTGATACAGTGCACACTGTGTGACGGTTGCTGTGTGTCTGTGTGCAGCGTTAGTTGCAAAAGACAAGCCTTTGGTGGAATGTCAGGAAAGGCTCCATAATTGCAATCCCCTAACACCACTTCCAAGGGCTGTGGCCGTAAATAAAGGCCAATGACTGTGCCGAGGTTGTATACCCTGGTGTGTGTGTGTTCTGGGGTGGGGAGGTAGGTGCTGTGACCACAGGCTGGCTTCCATTAATCTGTGAGCTCCTGCCCTGGCATGTCAGGACAGACAGACAGACACAGGTACAAGACAAATTCCAAGGGACTGAGGATCCATTGGCTGGAGAACTGTGGGAAAAACCAGGAGAAAGAGGAAATCCTTCTCCAGGGGGGAGAAAAATCAAATGGGCCATGGAAACTAGTGAGTCCGTCAGCAGCCCTTTATCTGAAATGGGAGAGCCTTCAGAAGCCATGGAGACCAGGCCTCAGTGGTTCTCAGACTTTAGTGGCAGCAGAAGACTGACTGGGTCTTGGGGGCTCTGATTTGGAAGTGCTGGACCTTCCTGTGCACCCAGGAGGCTGGAAGGATCACCTCCTAGCAAGCGATGAGAGCCAGAGCTCGGCATCTCCCCAGATATATCCCCTCGCCGCTGGGGGTGTGGGGCTGCCCCAGTGGTTTGCTGAGTGAGTACATTTTGAAAGCACTCACTAGTCTGAAGACCTACAGTTTCCAGATGAGAAAGCTAATTTGGAGAGGAGGGGCTGGAATGCTGGAGTTAAGGTGAGGAGAGGGCGCTGGAGGGACTCCTGTGCCTACGTGATGAGGCCAGAGGCCCCGCAGCAGGTCCAGCCTCAGGTCTCTATGGAGCAGCTCTGAGTCAGTGGCTGGAGTGCACAGGGGGAAGGCCCAGGTCTCCTGCCTTTCTGGTTTTCCAAACTGCCCGAGAGCCAGGGGGCTCAGATGGACTCAGTGGCCTGTGGGTCCAGTGTCCATGCCACAGCTCCCAGCCTACCTGTGGGAGGAGGGGCTCCCTAGGGAAGGACGCATCTTCTGTGTGCTGACCTGGCACAACCGAGATTAAAGCACCACCCTCTCCCAACGGCTAGTGGAGCTGACTCTGGCTCCACTCATTGTGGTGGGTGACGTACAATGCAGGGTCACAGGTGTGCTAGAAAGCGCATGGGCTTTTGAGGCAGCTGAACCTGGGTTCAAATCTCAGTTACCTTTTACCCTGCAACTTGGCCACACTCGCGTCTTAGGAAGACTGTGATGAAGTAATGAAAGATTGCCAGGACCCTGGCACACGGAGTTGCTTAAAAAATGCTCCCTTTCCTTCCCCACCTCCCACCCCCATGCATTTTTGAAGACTGTTGTGAACATACCTACAACCTCACTTCTGAAGGGGGAAAAAGGCAAGAGGAGAGAGGAAGCTGCAAGGCAGATTCCCGAGCCCAGGTGTCCAGGTGTCCAGGTGTCCAGGTCAGCACCTGCTCAGTGACTCCCACCCCCCATCTGTGGCCTTCCCCTTCACAACCTTCCATTCCCCACTTGCCGCTCACCCCTGGGAGTCATTAGCCTGAGACTGGAGGGTCACCCATCTTTGTCCCTCCTGGCCGTGCCTGGCCTCTCACCTGGGACCTCAGTTCATGCCCCGCCCTCTCACCCCCTTCCTCGTGAGCCTCCGTGCAGAGCTCAGGGTCCTGTCTTTCCACTCCATGGTCACTTCCACCCAGACTTGGGAAGGCAGAGGAAGGGGAGGTGAAGAGAGGAGGTAGTAGCTGAGCACAGAGCAAGGCAGGACCCAGGCTGGCTCTACAGAAAGCACCAGGGATGGGGTAGAGGACTTGCCAAAGGGCATGAGGAGGGGCTTTCTGCCCACACTTTGCCACCCACCCCTGTTGCCTTCTCTGACCTGGCAGTGTGTACAGGTGCAGGTGCCATTCATGACGCGCTTAACAAGAGTCCTCCCCCAGTTCATCACAGTGGCCTCTAGAGAGGCAAGGGGAGTGGCCACTGGGCCTCTAAAGTCAGAGCTCAGAACTTTGGGACTGAGGAGGAGGAAGAGAATGAGAAGTCCAGGCTGCTCTAGGGAAACAAGCAGACCCAGCTGTCCTTGGCTTGGCAGGCCATGCCTGGGCCACACAGCCATGCACATGTGGACACACCCTCACCAAACCCCAGCTGCTTCAGGAAAGAGGCTGTACAGGCTCTTCATAACTAGGCACAGTAGAAAGAAGACAGGATTTGAAACCAGGCAGATCGAGGTATGAATTGAGGCTCTCCCACCAGCAGTGTGATTACCCTGATTCTATTTCTTGGAAAAAAAGAAGAAGAAGATAATACTTATTTCCCATGGTTGTGAAAATTCAGTGAGAAAACATATATAAAGAGCCAGGCCTAGCATATAGCACTTAAGAAATAAGTTCCCTTTGAATTTTTTAGAACAATGGACCAAGAGCAAGTTTTGGAGGCTGAAGACCCAAAATCTGTGAATATTAATCAGAGGTAGATGGCTGATTTGTTGTTTTCATCTATAACACCTACTGATTTTACTCTCATTGACCCTAAGGGTAACTGACAATACTGTGACTTACCCGTTCTTTGTGTAGATGTGTGTGCCTCTCTTGTATCTCTGACTCTGTCATAAATTTCTCAAAAATAAGGATCATACATTATATTCCTCTATGAGCCCTACAGCATTGATTCCCAAGGTATAAAGCTTTACAGGATTTATGAGGTCTCGCGCCCCAAAAGAGGTTCCATGGTGAAATAACTTTGGGCCAATCTGAGTTATAGAAAGTTTAGACTCTTTTTTTTTTTTTTTTTTTTCATGGTAGGGTACAGAGTCTCACTCTGTTGCCTAGGCTGGAGTGCAATGGCACGATCTCAGCTCACTGCAACCCCCACCTCCCAGGTTCAAGCGATTCTCCTGCCTCAGCTTCCCGGGTAGCTGGGATTATAGGCACCCACCACCACGCTTGGCTAATTTTTATATTTTTAGTAGAAGTGGGGTTTTACCATGTTGGCCAGGCTGGTCTCCAACTCAACCTCAAGGGATCTGCCCACCTTGGCCTCCATAGTGTATTCTGTTTATTCTTACAGGACGAAGGGGCATGGTGAATTTGCAAGAGGGGTAAGGTTCGAAGCGTCTCCCAAACTTACGTGAGCGCTTTACATCCCCTCTTGGTGTTTTCAGTGTTGCTGTGAGGAACAACTCTGAGACTGTAATTCTTGAAAAACGCAACTCTAGGGAGACACTGTGTCAGGTCAATAGGAGCTGCTCAGCTTTGGGAAAGAAGAGCAGAAAGGGTAAGAAGTAAGGACAGACCTAAATATGCCATCGATGTTCTCACATCCAGTGCAGTTGGGACAACTAATCTGTGGTTGATTGAAAAACTTAGTTTAAAAAAGAAACAACCATTCCAAAGAGATACTTTAATTGAAAAGATGGACTTACCGTATACATTCATTTGCTAATCTTTTGATACAGGACTAAGGTCTTTTTCTGATTGTGAGTCATCTTCCTTGCATAAACCTCTCCTATAATGTAACATCTATAAATTCCACCTCAATGGAAAGTGGAATTACAACTTTGACATTTGGGAACCAATCTGTCCGCGAGATCTTTCCATATTTTTATTATGTATTCCAATCCTTTATGTTTGTCTCATCTGATCCTAACTATTCAGCATTTGTAAGCAAATTTGGGCCTCAAGACTTTTGAAAACTTTCTACTTATCAACAGCGACGCTTTTTGCACTCATATTTCTTTGGTTTACGGAAGAGTTTGTTAAATTACAGAAATTTACATACTTTATTAATAATAACATAGAACCAGTCTGGATACGAGCACTGCTGGCTTTCAGATAAGCAGATAGTGTAGCTAACAGACATTCCACAAAACAGCCTTCTCATCTCAAGCATTCAGAGTGCTGCGGAAAACAATTCTAACGATTTACAGAAGAAATGGACATGCCATCAATTAATCCGGAAACTTTGCTAAATAGGGATTGGTTGTGAGAACGTCTGTAGTAAATACTGGTTGTTTCTGTTGTCTTCTTTCCCTGGGGTATAAGTCTGTATCCTTTGGTTCCCTTTGTCCTATGTCTGGGGCTTCTTGTCATTTCTACCGTTCTGCAGCACTGGCAGCCACAAAAAAGTATTCAGATGATAGAAGGCTCCCGAGATGGAGGTGAAATCCCAGAGCCTTTTTGCTGTTAGGCTGCAGTGAGATTGGGATGGTTTCATCCATTAGCTGTTCGCCTCTACGTCCCTGAAGAATCCAGTGACATTTTCTTGCTCTTGCATTTGGCTGAAAGAGGCTACACTCCTGCTGGAAGCAATCATTCCATAGCAGACTCAGGTCGGTTGAGAGCCCATGGCAGACAGTCCTCTTGGAGGGTGGAGAGGTAGGCACTGTT